GTCTTGGGAGGGACACAGTGGCGTCTTGGGAGGGACACTGTGGCGTCTTGGGAGGGTCACAGTGGCGTCTTGGGAGGGACACAGTGGCGTCTTGGGAGGGTCACAGTGGCGTCTTGGGAGGGTCACAGTGGCGTCTTGGGAGGGTCACAGTGGCGTCTTGGGAGGGGCACAGTGGCGTCTTGGGAGGGTCACAGTGGCGTCTTGGGAGGGTCACAGTGGCGTCTTGGGAGGGTCACAGTGGCGTCTTGGGAGGGTCACAGTGGCGTCTTGGGAGGGTCACAGTGGCGTCTTGGGAGGGTCACAGTGGCGTCTTGGGAGGGTCACAGTGGCGTCTTGGGAGGGACACAGTGGCGTCTTGGGTCACAGTGGCGTCTTGGGAGGGACACAGTGGCGTCTTGGGAGGGTCACAGTGGCGTCTTGGGAGGGTCACAGTGGCGTCTTGGGAGGGTCACAGTGGCGTCTTGGGAGGGTCACAGTGGCGTCTTGGGAGGGTCACAGTGGCGTCTTGGGAGGGACACAGTGGCGTCTTGGGTCACAGTGGCGTCTTGGGTCACAGTGGCGTCTTGGGAGGGACACAGTGGCGTCTTGGGTCACAGTGGCGTCTTGGGAGGGTCACAGTGGCGTCTTGGGAGGGTCACAGTGGCGTCTTGGGAGCGTCACAGTGGCGTCTTGGGAGGGACACAGTGGCGTCTTGGGAGGGTCACAGTGGCGTCTTGGGAGGGACACAGTGGCGTCTTGGGTCACAGTGGCGTCTTGGGTCACAGTGGCGTCTTGGGAGGGACACAGTGGCGTCTTGGGAGGGTCACAGTGGCGTCTTGGGAGCGTCACAGTGGCGTCTTGGGAGGGTCACAGTGGCGTCTTGGGAGGGTCACAGTGGCGTCTTGGGAGGGTCACAGTGGCGTCTTGGGAGCGTCACAGTGGCGTCTTGGGAGGGTCACAGTGGCGTCTTGGGAGGGTCACAGTGGCGTCTTGGGAGGGTCACAGTGGCGTCTTGGGAGGGACACAGTGGCGTCTTGGGAGGGACACAGTGGCGTCTTGGGTCACAGTGGCGTCTTGGGAGGGTCACAGGGGCGTCTTGGGAGGGTCACAGTGCCGTCTTGGGTCACAGTGGCGTCTTGGGTCACAGTGGCGTCTTGGGTCACAGTGACGTCTTGGGAGGGTCACAGTGGCGTCTTGGGTCACAGTGGCGTCTTGGGAGGGACACAGTGGCGTCTTGGGTCACAGTGGCGTCTTGGGAGGGACACAGTGGCGTCTTGGGAGGGACACAGTGCCGTCTTGGGAGGGTCACAGTGCCGTCTTGGGAGGGTCACAGTGCCGTCTTGGGAGGGTCACAGTGCCGTCTTGGGAGGGACACAGTGCCGTCTTGGGAGGGTCACAGTGCCGTCTTGGGTCACAGTGCCGTCTTGGGAGGGTCACAGTGGCGTCTTGGGTCACAGTGGCGTCTTGGGAGGGTCACAGTGCCGTCTTGGGAGGGTCACAGTGGCGTCTTGGGTCACAGTGGCGTCTTGGGAGGGTCACAGTGGCGTCTTGGGAGGGACACAGTGGCGTCTTGGGAGGGACACAGTGGCGTCTTGGGAGGGACACAGTGGCGTCTTGGGAGGGTCACAGTGGCGTCTTGGGAGGGTCACAGTGGCGTCTTGGGAGGGTCACAGTGGCGTCTTGGGAGGGACACAGTGGCGTCTTGGGAGGGTCACAGTGGCGTCTTGGGAGGGACACAGTGGCGTCTTGGGAGGGTCACAGTGGCGTCTTGGGAGGGTCACAGTGGCGTCTTGGGAGGGTCACAGTGGCGTCTTGGGAGGGTCACAGTGGCGTCTTGGGAGGGACACAGTGGCGTCTTGGGAGGGTCACAGTGGCGTCTTGGGAGGGTCACAGTGGCGTCTTGGGAGGGTCACAGTGGCGTCTTGGGAGGGTCACAGTGGCGTCTTGGGAGGGACACAGTGGCGTCTTGGGAGGGTCACAGTGGCGTCTTCGGAGGGTCACAGGGGCGTCTTGGGAGGGACACAGTGGCGTCTTGGGAGGGACACAGTGGCGTCTTGGGAGGGACACAGGGGCGTCTTGGGAGGGACACAGGGGCGTCTTGGGTCACAGTGGCGTCTTGGGTCACAGTGGCGTCTTGGGAGGGTCACAGTGGCGTCTTGGGAGGGTCACAGTGGCGTCTTGGGTCACAGTGGCGTCTTGGGAGGGTCACAGTGGCGTCTTGGGAGGGTCACAGTGGCGTCTTGGGAGGGCCACAGTGGCGTCTTGGGAGGGACACAGGGGCGTCTTGGGAGGGACACAGGGGCGTCTTGGGAGGGACACAGTGGCGTCTTGGGAGGGTCACAGTGGCGTCTTGGGAGGGTCACAGTGGCGTCTTGGGAGGGTCACAGTGGCGTCTTGGGAGGGCCACAGTGGCGTCTTGGGAGGGCCACAGTGGCGTCTTGGGAGGGACACAGGGGCGTCTTGGGAGGGACACAGGGGCGTCTTGGGAGGGACACAGTGGCGTCTTGGGAGGGTCACAGTGGCGTCTTGGGAGGGTCACAGTGGCGTCTTGGGAGGGTCACAGTGCCGTCTTGGGAGGGACACAGTGGCGTCTTGGGAGGGACACAGTGGCGTCTTGGGAGGGTCACAGTGGCGTCTTGGGAGGGTCACAGTGGCGTCTTGGGAGGGTCACAGTGGCGTCTTGGGAGGGTCACAGTGGCGTCTTGGGAGGGACACAGTGGCGTCTTGGGAGGGACACAGTGGCGTCTTGGGAGGGACACAGGGGCGTCTTGGGAGGGACACAGTGGCGTCTTGGGAGGGACACAGTGGCGTCTTGGGAGGGACACAGTGGCGTCTTGGGAGGGACACAGTGGCGTCTTGGGAGGGACACAGTGCCGTCTTGGGAGGGACACAGGGGCGTCTTGGGAGGGACACAGGGGCGTCTTGGGAGGGACACAGGGGCGTCTTGGGAGGGACACAGTGGCGTCTTGGGAGGGACACAGTGGCGTCTTGGGAGGGACACAGTGGCGTCTTGGGAGGGACACAGTGGCGTCTTGGGAGGGTCACAGTGGCGTCTTGGGAGGGACACAGGGGCGTCTTGGGAGGGACACAGTGGCGTCTTGGGAGGGACACAGTGGCGTCTTGGGAGGGACACAGTGGCGTCTTGGGAGGGACACAGTGGCGTCTTGGGAGGGACACAGTGGTCTTGGGAGGGACACAGGGGCGTCTTGGGAGGGACACAGTGGCGTCTTGGGAGGGACACAGTGGCGTCTTGGGAGGGACACAGTGGCGTCTTGGGAGGGACACAGTGGCGTCTTGGGAGGGTCACAGTGGCGTCTTGGGAGGGACACAGTGGCGTCTTGGGAGGGACACAGTGGCGTCTTGGGAGGGACACAGTGGCGTCTTGGGTCACAGTGGCGTCTTGGGAGGGTCACAGTGGCGTCTTGGGAGGGGCAGTGAGGGGTGTTCCGTCCTGGGGCGGAGGGAGAGGTGGCTCCACCAGCGTGAGTACAGTAGTAACGTATTGATCCGCCCCCAACAATGGTCCTCCCCCTCGCATTCCTCTCCAACGCACTACCATACACCCCTCACACCTCACTCCCTCATCTCCCCCAAACCTCACCCCCAGAGTCAGGCACTAACTGCTGCCAACCACTGTAAACCTCCATACAAACAGTGCCAAACATCGCAGGCACTCCCAAACACCACACTATGGCACTGTGCCTAGGGCAAGGTGGTCGAGTGCCACACTGCCCACCATTCAAGACGGGTCACTGAGAGTCAGGAAGATCAAGAGAGCAGCAGAGATGGATGAGGAGGCTGCCAAGTGGTGAGGTCTCTCTCTAAGACAGGTATCATCAGTCATCTATATTCCTTCACACCTTGTAACAGCCTCTCGTAAACTATCAGAGCTTCGAGTCGTGTTCACAGGCTGCCCTGCCCCGGCTGGTGTGTGGGGTGTGTGGGGGTGTGGGGGGTGTGGGGGGGTGTGGGGGTGTGGGGGTGTGGGGGGTGTGTGGGGGTGTGGGGGTGTGGGGGTGGTGTGTGGGGGTGGTGGTGTGTGGGGGGTGTGTGTGGGGGGTGGGGGGGGTAGCTATACGCCCCCCCCCCCACAGCCAGTGTTCAGGTGTGGGGGTGATCAGGTGTGGGGGGTAGCTATACCCCCCCAACAGCCAGTGTTAAGGTGTGGGGGTGATCAGGTGTGGGGGTGATCAGGTGTGGGGGTGTGGGGGTAGCTATACCCCCCCCTCCCCCACAGCATCAGGTGTAGGAGGTGTGGGGCACACATTTACATATACCAGTATACACATATAAATGGCAAATACATATTTGTATTAGGCTGGGAGGGCGCACCTATGAGGCCAGGCTTGACGTGTGAGAGCTTGGTCCACCAGGCTGTTGCTTGCAGCGGCCCGCATTACGGACAGCCCAAAACGTCCACCTCAAAGCAGTGAAGTAATTACCACAATTAGGCTATAATATCGTTACCTTTGAGAAGTAATTGCAGGTAACGAGCCTAGTACCCTTCAAACCCCCCAAACTTACGAGCTCTGCGTCGAGGCTCAGGTGACTCGCTCGTTAAAGCGCTTACCTGGAGCGTACCTGTGAAGGGACTCTGGAGTTGTTCTACCCCCAGAGGCTCGAGGTAGGAGTCCGCCCCACCACACAAGGAGGAGGGTCCTGAGGACGATCTCGAGGAGGTCCTGAGGACGACCTCGAGGAGGTCCTGAGGACGACCCCATGGAGGTCCTACTCGAGACCTCGCGGCCTTCCCTCGAGGCGTGATTACGGAGCCTGGGTTCCGCGCCATTTTTTGTGTGGCGGGAGTTCTCTGGCTTGCCGCCAGGGCGCCGCCGTCAGCGCCTCCACGCGGCCATATTTAGCACTCCGCACCTACGGTCTCCCTTCCTCTACTCTCATTAACGTCACCTACGGAACCTACGGGCCCCTGGAGCCTATGGGGCTCTTAAGCCTATGGGACTCTGGGGTCTATGGGCCCCTGGAGCCTACGGGGCCCTGGAGCCTATGGGACTCTGGGGTCTATGGGCCCCTGGAGCCTATGGGACTCTGGGGTCTACGGGTCCCTGGAGCCTATGGGACTCTGGGGTCTACGAGCCTATGGAGCCTATGGGTCTCTGGGGTCTACGGGCCCCTGGAGCCTATGGGACTCTGGGGTCTACGGGCCCCTGGAGCCTATGGGACTCTGGGGTCTACGGGACCTGGGGTCTACGGGCCCCTGGAGCCTATGGGACTCTGGGGTCTACGGGCCCCTGGAGCCTATGGGACTCTGGGTCTACTCTGGGGTCTACGGGCCCCTGGAGCCTATGGGACTCTGGGGTCTACGGGCCCCTGGAGCCTATGGGACTCTGGGGTCTACGGGCCCCTGGAGCCTATGGGACTCTGGGGTCTACGGGCCCCTGGAGCCTATGGGACTCTGGGGTCTACGGGCCCCTGGAGCCTATGGGACTCTGGGGTCTACGGGCCCCTGGAGCCTATGGGACTCTGGGGTCTACGGGCCCCTGGAGCCTATGGGACTCTGGGGTCTACGGGCCCCTGGAGCCTATGGGACTCTGGGGTCTACGGGCCCATGGAGCCTATGGGACTCTGGGGTCTACGGGCCCCTGGAGCCTATGGGACTCTGGGGTCTACGGGCCCCTGGAGCCTATGGGACTCTGGACGGGCCTCTGGAGCCTATGGGACTCTGGGGTCTACGGGCCCCTGGAGCCTATGGGACTCTGGGGTCTACGGGCCCCTGGAGCCTATGGGGCTCTGGAGCCTATGGGACTCTGGGGTCTACGGGCCCCTGGAGCCTATGGGACTCTGGGGTCTACGGGCCCCTGGAGCCTATGGGACTCTGGGGTCTACGGGCCCCTGGAGCCTATGGGACTCTGGGGTCTACGGGCCCCTGGAGCCTACGGGACTCTGGGGTCTACGGGCCTATGGGACTCCTGGGGTCTACGGGCCCCTGGAGCCTATGGGACTCTGGGGTCTACGGGCCCCTGGAGCCTATGGGACTCTGGGGTCTACGGGCCCCTGGAGCCTATGGGACTCTGGGGTCTACGGGTCCCTGGAGCCTATGGGACTCTGGGGTCTACGGGCCCCTGGAGCCTACGGGCCCCTGGAGCCTATGGGACTCTGGGGTCTACGGAGCCTACGGGCCCCTGGACGGGTCCTGGAGCCTATGGGCCCCTGGGGTCTACGGGCCCCTGGAACCTACGGGCCCCTGGAGCCTATGGGACTCTGGGGTCTACGGGCCCTAGACCCTACGGGCCCCTGGAGCCTACGGGTCCCTGGGGTCTACGGGCCCCTGGAACCTACGGGCTCCTGGAGCCTACGGGCCCCTGGGGTCTACGGGTCCCTGGGGTCTACGGGCCCCTGGAGCCTACGGGCCCCTGGAGCCTACGGGCCCCTGGAGCCTACGGGCCCCTGGAGCCTACGGGCCCCTGGGCCCCTGGGGTCTACGGGTCCCTGGGGTCTACGGGCCCCTGGAGCCTACGGGCCCCTAGAGCCTACGGGCCCCTGGAGCCTACGGGCCCCTGGAGGCTACGGGCCCCTGGAGGCTACGGGCCCCTGGAGGCTACGGGCCCCTGGAGGCTACGGGCCCCTGGAGGCTACGGGCCCCTGGAGGCTACGGGCCCCTGGAGGCTACGGGCCCCTGGAGGCTACGGGCCCCTGGAGGCTACGGGCCCCTGGAGGCTACGGGCCCCTGGAGGCTACGGGCCCCTGAGGCTAGGGCTACGGGCCCCCTGGAGGCTACGGGCCCCTGGAGGCTACGGGCCTCTGGAGCCACGGGGCCTAGCCCGTGCTACTTGAAGTCCACTACGGGCTCACCATAGCCCGTGCTACTTGCCCCGCTCCTGTGCCAGGTAAGTCCACTACGGGCTCACCATAGCCCGTGCTACTTGCCCCGCTCCTGTGCCAGGTAAGTCCACTACGGGCTCACCATAGCCCGTGCTACTTGCCCCGCTCCTGTGCCAGGTAAGTCCACTACGGGCTCACCATAGCCCGTGCTACTTGCCCCGCTCCTGTGCCAGGTAAGTCCACTACGGGCTCACCATAGCCCGTGCTACTTGCCCCGCTCCTGTGCCAGGTAAGTCCACTACGGGCTCACCATAGCCCGTGCTACTTGCCCCGCTCCTGTGCCAGGTAAGTCCACTACGGGCTCACCATAGCCCGTGCTACTTGCCCCGCTCCTGTGCCAGGTAAGTCCACTACGGGCTCACCATAGCCCGTGCTACTTGCCCCGCTCCTGTGCCAGGTAAGTCCACTACGCACACACTACCAGACAACCACGGGGCTTCCATAAGGTCAAAGAAGAGGCTTCTACCCTACCCCCTGGGGGGGGGGGGGGCAACGGTGCTTCATCAGCCCCCCCAACCACCCCAGGGGAGCATACCTGGAACATACCTGGAGAATGTTTCGCGAGTTCTTCTACTCCAAGATACTGATAGAATTCTTTTCAAGTGGGAGAAGGATTACTTCAGAGACATGGGGAACTTGTAGCAGGTTTCCAGCAGTCTCAGGAGACTATGGAGTTGGGCTCCAGTTGTCGGTCTGGAGTGGTCTCTCCAGGGCGCAAAGGGTAGGTTGATACAGGGGGAGAAGCTGTTACCCATGCAGCAGGTCACGGCGCCGAAAGTCTCCAATTGAAAGGTAACCGCCAATATGATTGGTTCCAGGAACTATCAGAACGAGGTTGAAGCAACAAGGAACTGCCCTAAAGGCTCCAGTCCTGGAGGTTCGTGGGGTTAGACTACAGGGTTATCTTGAGGTTATCTTGAAATGATTTCGGGGCTTTATTGTCCCCGCGGCCCGGTCGTCGACCAGGCCTCCACCCCCAGGAAGCAGCCCGTGACAGCTGACTAACACCCAGGTACCTATTTTACTGCTAGGTAACAGGGGGCATAGGGTGAAAGAAACTCTGCCCATTGTTTCTCGACGGCGCCTGGGATCGACCCCGGGACCACAGGATCACAAGTCCAGCGTGCTGTCCGCTCGGCCGACCGGCTCCCTGGGGTTGGAAAAAGCACTTTGAATAAGCAGGTTGTTAACTATGTTGTTTTATTTATATATATAGAGTTGTAACAAGAGTTGTTACAATCTTGTACATCCTCCAGCCCGCGTAGCCTTTTGGGCAGGGTCCTTAATCCTATGTTCCTTGGAATACCACCTGCCAAATCGTTTAGCAACCAGGTAGCACCCAATTTACTGTTGGGTAAATAGAGGCTACAGTTAAGGATTGGCGCCCAGTCAATCCTCCCCCGGCTAGGATACGAACCCAGGCCAAAGATCTCACGAGCGCCAGGCGATTGTCTTTCCACTGCGCCACGGGGACTAGCTGTTCCCCGTGGCGCACTTAACTTACTTACATACTAGTACTTCTTGTCCTTACCAACACAAACAGTTTAACAGATCAATGTAAACACGACCTACTCACTACAGCCTGTTCAACAGTCTGGTGGACCAAGCTCTCACAAGTCACAGTGAGTAGAACAACTCTCAGACCCCCATCCAGGTACAATCCAGGTACAGGAGGGAGTCATCCCAGATGAGAGCCTCAACCATCCACCCATACATCACAATACTAGAATTTCATAGTGTCATGTTCACTGAAACCCATCCAGGGACCGATGGGAAAAACTATACCGAACCTCTTGATCTAACTTGATTCTAGAAGGAATTGTTCAGCCAATTGATTCAGTCGTGTCCCGCCTCTCCCCCCATATCTCTATCTCTATCTCTATCTATCTATCTCCCTCTCCCTCTCTCTCTCTCTCTCTCTCTAATGTGACGTTCTTGTGAGCCACTGAGCCTCTGTAGGGACATCTGTACGGGCCTCTGTAGGGGCCTCTACGGGCCTCTGTAGGGGCCTCTACGGGCCTCTGTAGGGGCCTCTACGGGCCTCTGTAGGGGCCTCTACGGGCCTCTGTAGGGGCCTCTGTAGGGGCCTCTACGGGCCTCTGTAGGGGCCTCTACGGGCCTCTGTAGGGGCCTCTACGGGCCTCTGTAGGGGCCTCTACGGGCCTCTGTAGGGGCCTCTACGGGCCTCTGTAGGGGCCTCTGTAGGGACCTCTGTAGGGCACTCTGTAGCTGCACCTGCAAAAAGAGGTGTGTAGAGGCAGCAGCACGAACACCAAACACCTGGGAGGCATCATGTCTCACTCGAGAGCTTCCTCTCACTCCTCCATGTCCCGAACACACACTCATATGCTCAACCCACCTCCAGGGTGGGAGTAGAGGCGGCGTGGTGGGCGGGGGACGGCAGTAGAGGCAGCGTGGTGGGCGGGGGACGGCAGTAGAGGCAGCGTGGTGGGCGGGGGACGGCAGTAGAGGCAGCGTGGTGGGCGTGGGACGGCAGTAGAGACAGCGTGGTGGGCGTGGGACGGCAGTAGAGGCAGCGTGGTGGGCGGGGGATGGCAGTAGAGGCAGCGTGGACGGCAGTAGAGGCAGCGTGGTGGGCGGGGGACGGCAGTAGAGGCAGCGTGGTGGGCGGGGACGGCAGTAGAGGCAGCGTGGTGGGCGGGGGACGGCAGTAGAGGCAGCGTGGTGGGCGGGGGACGGTAGTAGAGGCAGCGTGGTGGGCGGGGGACGGCAGTAGAGGCAGCGTGGTGGGCGGGGGACGGCAGTAGAGGCAGCGTGGTAGGCGGGGGCGGCAGTAGAGGCAGCGTGGTGGGCGGGGGACGGCAGTAGAGGCAGCGTGGACGGCAGTAGAGGCAGCGTGGTGGGCGTGGGCGGCAGTAGAGGCAGCGTGGTGGGCGGGGGACGGGGAGGCACGGCAGTAGAGGCAGCGTGGTGGGCGGGGGACGGCAGTAGAGGCAGCGTGGTGGGCGGGGGACGGCAGTAGAGGCAGCGTGGTGGGCGGGGGACGGCAGTAGAGGCAGCGTGGTGGGCGGGGGGCAGGCAGCGAGGGGGCGGGGAGGACGGCAGTAGAGGCAGGCAGTAGAGGCAGCGTGGTGGGCGGGGGACGGCAGTAGAGGCAGCGTGGTGGGCGGGGGACGGCAGTAGAGGCAGGGTGGGCAGCAGTAGAGGAGGCAGCGTGGTGGGCGGGGGACGGCAGTAGAGGCAGCGTGGTGGGCGGGGGACGGCAGTAGAGGCAGCGTGGTGGGCGGGGGACGGCAGTAGAGGCGTGGTGGGCGGGGGACGGCAGTGGTGGTAGCGGGGGACGGCAGTAGAGGCAGCGTGGTGGGCGGGGGACGGCAGTAGAGGCAGCGTGGTGGGCGGGGGACGGCAGTAGAGGCAGCGTGGTGGGCGGGGGACGGCAGTAGAGGCAGCGTGGTGGGCGGGGGACGGCAGTAGAGGCAGCGTGGTGGGCGGGGGACGGCAGTAGAGGCAGCGTGGTGGGCGGGGGACGGCAGTAGAGGCAGCGTGGTGGGCGGGGGACGGTGGTGGGCACGGCAGTAGAGGCAGCGTGGTGGTGGGCGGGGGACGGCAGTAGAGGCAGCGTGGTGGGCGGGGGACGGCAGTAGAGGCAGCGTGGACGGCAGTAGAGGCAGCGTGGTGGGCGGGGGACGGCAGTAGAGGCAGCGTGGTGGGCGGGGGACGGCAGTAGAGGCAGCGTGGTGGGCGGGGGACGGCAGGAGAGGCAGCGTGGTGGGCGGGGGACGGCAGTAGAGGCAGCGTGGTGGGCGGGGGACGGCAGTAGTGGTGGGCGGGGGAACGGCAGTAGAGGCAGCGTGGTGGGCGGGGGACGGCAGTAGAGGCAGGCGTGGTGGGCGGGGGACGGCAGTAGAGGCAGCGTGGTGGGCGGGGGACGGCAGTAGAGGCAGCGTGGTGGGCGGGGGACGGCAGTAGAGGCAGCGTGGTGGGCGGGGACGGCAGTAGAGGCAGCGTGGTGGGCGGGGGCGTGGACGGCAGTAGAGGCAGCGTGGTGGGCGGGGGACGGCAGTAGAGGCAGCGTGGTGGGCGGGGGACGGCAGTAGAGGCAGCGTGGTGGGCGGGGGACGGCAGTAGAGGCGCGGAGGCAGCGTGGTGGGCGGGGGACGGCAGTAGAGGCAGCGTGGTGGGCGGGGGAAGGCAGTAGAGGCAGCGTGGTGGGCGGGGGACGGCAGTAGAGGCAGCGTGGTGGGCGGGGGACGGCAGTAGAGGCAGCGTGGTGGGCGGGGGACGGCGGCAGTAGAGGCAGCGTGGTGGGCGGGGGACGGCAGTAGAGGCAGCGTGGTAGGCGGGGGGCGGCAGTAGAGGCAGCGTGGTGGGCGTGGGCGGCAGTAGAGGCAGCGTGGTGGGCGGGGGACGGCAGTAGAGGCAGCGTGGTGGGCGTGGACGGCAGTAGAGGCAGCGTGGTGGGCGTGGACGGCAGTAGAGGCAGCGTGGTGGGCGGGGGACGGCAGTAGATGCAGCGTGGTGGGCGGGGGACGGCAGTAGAGGCAGCGTGGTAGGCGTGGGCGGCAGTAGAGGCAGCGTGGTGGGCGGGGGACGGCAGTAGAGGCAGCGTAGAGGCAGTAGAGCCAAGGCCAGCAGACAGGTTTCACTAGGACCATTTCAAACAAAAATAAAGATAAAATCAGCAAAAGGCGGATAACTGCGATGACCAGAAAGGGAAGGAAGGAGGAAGAGGAGGGAGAGAGGGAGAGGGAGAGAGGGGGGGGGAGGGGGGAGAGAGGGGGGGGGGGATAGGAGAGAGGGAGAGGCGCGTCTCTAGTGTTGGGGTGGCACAAGAGGCGACACCAGAGGGCCCTCCATTACAGGCCTAGAGCGGCCCCCTCGTATGGGCGGTTATCGCGCGGGCGGGGCGGGCGGGGTTACACTCGTGCGGGCGAGTAAGGCCCCCAGACACAGTAATGGCTTCACTCTCTTGGCCCAGGCTCAATGGGGCGGCGGGAACGCATCGCCGCCCAGGTGACGCATCTTCACACACACGCTGCTGGGGCCCTCTATCGCAGCGCATGGCCTTACCTTCCCTCCCACGCACGCACGCACGCACGCACTCGCAACAAATTCTGCAGCGACCCTCCATCAGAAGGCCAGTCTTGCCTCTCTCTCCCTCCCTGCCCCTAGCAACGCTCTACCTTCCTCCTCCTCCCCCAGTCATATTTCCTGGCCCTTCACACCCCTCCCTCAGGCCGCGTACTCCCTCACTCCTCCCTCCCACGACATTTTACACAAAGATCTCTCTCTCTCTCTCTCCTCTCTCTCTAGAGAGAGAGAGGGGGGGAGGAGAGAGAGAGAGAGAGAGAGAGAGAGAGAGAGAGAGAGAGAGAGAGGGGGGAGGATTGAGAGAGAGAGAGAGCGATTGAGAGCTATATTTATAATAGATATAACAGAGACAATAAGTTTCGAATCATATTAAACAAGCGCCAGTTAGAAAGGCGGGACCCAAGAGCACGATCCTGCAGGCATAACTTGTAAACACACATACACACCAAACATGCAGCTGTGTTATCTTTGTTGTCAACATCACACACAAACGCCGGTTATCGAGACCACCACTGGGAACCCACCGGAGAAATATATATATATATATATATATATATATATATATATATATATATATATATATATATATATATATATATATATATTATATATATATATATATATATTATATATACACCTCAGGCGATTGTAAGCCCACACTCGCCAGACCCGACAACCTGCTCAGCCCAAACTAGCAACCACAAGCCTACCAAAATCCACCATTGACAGAGGTCTTTCGCTTCCATTTTGATTCCGAAAAAGAGATCTTTGAAACATCGCTGAACCTCTTGAACCATCTTTCACCGGGCGGCGCGCCGTGTTCTCCCTCTTACTGCTAGATCCTCTGGCCAAAGTCTTGTCTTAGAAGCATGTCTTCAAGTTTCTGGATGTTAAACACGCTTCGTAATATATTTGTCGACGTCTTGCTTGTCTCGGGGTATTCCTGGGAGCTGTCGGTGTGTGTACGTGGGTGACATTTACATGGGAGCCACTTACATGGGAGACACTTACATGGGAGACACTTACATGGGAGCCACTTAAATAACAATGCGAGCCACCAAGCCAGCAATATCTACCCTCTCTGCCTCCCTCGCTAAACACACACGATATATTATATCATTATTATATCAAGCACTTACGAACCTGGGGCCAGATTCACGAAGCACTTACGAACCTGGGGCCAGATTCACGAAGCACTTACGAACCTGGGGCCAGATTCACGAAGCACTTACGAACCTGGGGCCAGATTCACGAAGCACTTACGAACCTGGGGCCAGATTCACGAAGCACTTACGAACCTGGGGCCAGATTCACGAAGCACTTACGAACCTGGGGCCAGATTCACGAGGCAGTTACACAAACACTTACGAACCTGTCCATCTTTTCTCAATCTTTGGCGGCTTTGTTTACAATTATTAAACAGTTAATGAGCTCGGAAGCACCAGGAGGCTGTTTATAACAATAACAACAGTTGATTGGTAAGTTTTCATGCTTGTAAACTGTTTAATAAATGTAACCAAAGCCATCAAAGATTGAGGAAAGATGTACACGTTCGTAAGTGCTTGCGTAACTGCTTCGTGAATCTGGCCCCCAGGTTCGTAAGTGCTTGCGTAACTGTTTCGTGAATCTGGTCTCCTAGTCATGTCTTCCGCCTCCACTGGAGACCACCGTTCATGTAGCCATCAGGAATGGCTCACTAAGCCATCAGCAGACACAGCCAAAGCCATCAGCAGATACAGCCAAAGTCATCATACTGAGAGAGCAGTGGGCCAAACACTTCCTTGGTTACAAGGTACATCAATCTCTCTATTAATCACCTAGTTGATCTAGACACACACACACACACACACACACACACACACACACACACACACACACACACACACACACACACACAGAGAGGGGGCCTCGTAGGCTGGTGGATAGCGCGCAGGACTCGTAATTCTGTGGCCCGGGTTCGATCCCAGGCGCCGGCGAGAAACAATGGGCAGAGTTTCTTTCACCCTGTGCCCCTGTTACCTAGCAGTAAAATAGGTACCTGGGAGTTAGTCAGCTGTCACGGGCTGCTTCCTGGGGGTGGAGGCCTGGTCGAGGACCGGGCCGCGGGGACACTAAAGCCCCGAAATCATCTCAAGATAACCTCAAGATGGTACAGTAACGATATACTAAATAAAGGCAGCAATTACAATCTTGAGGTTATCTTGGTTATCTTGAGATGATTTCGGGGCTTTAGTGTCCCCGCGGCCCGGTCCTCGACCAGGCCTCCACCCCCAGGAAGCAGCCCGTGACAGCTGACTAACACCCAGGTACCTATTTTACTGCTAGGTAACAGGGGCATAGGGTGAAAGAAACTCTGCCCATTGTTTCTCGCCGGCGCCTGGGATCGAACCCAGGATCACAAGTCCAGCGTGCTGTCCGCTCGGCCGAGGACCGGGGTCCTGGTCACACACAGTTACTATACAGGTTCGATCCCGCAATCCCCCGAGTATGATTAGCCCCATGTTGGGTGCTGTGGGAGTCTTGGATACCCATGTGAAGGTGTCTGCTACTCCCAGGTACTGTAAGGGGGGTTCATGGGTGTAGTACTTGTGCCTCTACACTGTGGGAGAGGCAGGCTGTTACTGTGGGAGAGGCAGGGTGTTACTGTGGGAGAGGCAGTGTGTCACTGTGGGAGAGGCAGGATGTCACTATGGGAGAGGCAGGGTGTCACACTGTGGGAGAGGCAGGATGTTACTGTGGGAGAGGCAGTGTGTCACTGTGGGAGAGGCAGGATGTTACTGTGGGAGAGGCAGTGTGTTACTGTGGGAGAGGCAGGGTGTCACACTGTGGGAGAGGCAGGGTGTCACACTGTGGGAGAGGCAGGGTGTCACACTGTGGGAGAGGCAGGGTGTCACACTGTGGGAGAGGCAGGGTGTCACACTGTGGGAGAGGCAGGGTGTCACACTGTGGGAGAGGCAGGGTGTCACACTGTGGGAGAGGCAGGGTGTCACACTGTGGGAGAGGCAGGGTGTCACACTGTGGGAGAGGCAGGGTGTCACACTGTGGGAGAGGCAGGGTGTCACACTGTGGGAGAGGCAGGGTGTCACACTGTGGGAGAGGCAGGGTGTCACACTGTGGGAGAGGCAGGAGTGTTACTGTGGGAGAGACAGGGTGTTACTGTGGGAGAGGCAGGGTGTGTCACTGTGGGAGAGGCAGGGTGTCACACTGTGGGAGAGGCAGGGTGTCACACTGTGGGAGAGGCAGGGTGTCACACTGTGGGAGAGGCAGGGTGTCACACTGTGGGAGAGGCAGGGTGTCACACTGTGGGAGAGGCAGGGTGTCACACTGTGGGAGAGACAGGAGTGTTACTGTGGGAGAGACAGGGTGTTACTGTGGGAGAGGCAGGGTGTGTCACTGTGGGAGAGGCAGGGTGTTACTGTGGGAGAGGCAGGGTGTTACTGTGGGAGAGGCAGGGTGTTACTGTGGGAGAGGCAGGAGTGTTACTGTGGGAGAGGCAGGGTGTCACTGTACTCACCTAGTTGTGCTTGCGGGGGTTGAGCTCTGGCTCTTTGGTCCCGCCTCTCAACCGTCAATCAACTGGTGTACAGGTTCCTGAGCCTATTGGGCTCTATCATATCTACACTTGAAACTGTGTATGGAGTCAGCCTCCACCACATCACTTCCTAATGCATTCCATTTGTCAACCACTCTGTCACTAAAAAAGTTCTTTCTAATATCTCTGTGGCTCATTTGGGCACTCAGTTTCCACCTGTGTCCCCTAGTGCGCGTGCCCCTTGTGTTAAATAACCTGTCTTTATCAACCCTGTCAATTCCCTTGAGGATCTTGAATGTGGTGATCATGTCCCCCTAACTCTTCTGTCTTCCAACGAAGTGAGGTTTAATTCCCGTAGTCTCTCCTCGTAGCTCATACCTCTCAGCTCGGGTACTAGTCTGGTGGCAAACCTTTGAACCTTTTCCAGTTTAGTCTTATGCTTGACTAGATATGGACTCCATGCTGGAGCCGCATACTCTAGGATTGGTCTGACATATGTGGTATATAATGCTCTGAAAGATTCCTTACACAAGTTTCTAAAGGCCGTTCTTATGTTAGCCAACCTGGCATATGCTGGTGCTGTTATCCTCTTGATATGAGCTTCAGGGGACAGGTCTGGCGTGATATCAACCCCCAGGTCTTTCTCTCTCTCGGACTCTTGAAGTATTTAATCTCCCAAGTGATACCTTGTATCTGGTCTCCTGCTTCCTACCCCTATCTTCATTACATTACATTTGCTTGGATTAAACTCTAACAGCCATTTGTTCGACCATTCCTGCAGCTTGTCCAGGTCTTCTTGAAGCCTCAAGCTGTCCTCCTCTGTCTTAATCCTTCTCATAATTTTGGCGTCGTCAGCAAACATTGAGAGGAATGAGTCTATACCCTCTGGGGATACTGTGGGAGAGGCAGGCTGTCACACTGTGGGAGAGGCAGGCTGTCACACTGTGGGAGAGGCAGGCTGTCACACTGTGGGAGAGGCAGGCTGTCACACTGTGGGAGAGGCAGGCTGTCACACTGTGGGAGAGGCAGGCTGTCACACTGTAGAAGAGGCAGTGTGTCACACTGTGGGAGAGGCAGGCTGTCACATTGTGGAAGAGGCAGGGTGTCACACTGTGTGAGAGGCAGGCTGTCACATTGTGGAAGAGGCAGGGTGTCACACTGTGGGAGAGGCAGGCTGTCACACTGTAGAAGAGGCAGGGTGTCACACTGTGGGAGAGGCAGGCTGTCACATTGTGGAAGAGGCAGGGTGTCACTGTGGGAGAGGCAGGCTGTCACACTGTGGGAGAGGCAGGCTGTCACACTGTGGGAGAGGCAGGCTGTCACACTGTAGAAGAGGCAGTGTCACACTGTGGGAGAGGCAGGCTGTCACACTGTGGAAGAGGCAGGGTGTCACTGTGGGAGAGGCAGGCTGTCACACTGTGGGAGAGGCAGTGTGTCACTGTGGGAGAGACAGTGTGTCACTGTGGGAGAGGCAGGGTGTCACACTGTGGGAGAGGCAGGCTGTCACATTGTGGAAGAGGCAGGGTGTCACTGTGGGAGAGGCAGGCTGTCACACTGTGGGAGAGGCAGGCTGTCACACTGTGGGAGAGACAGTGTGTCACTGTGGGAGAGGCAGGGTGTCACACTGTGGGAGAGGCAGGCTGTCACATTGTGGAAGAGGCAGGGTGTCACTGTGGGAGAGGCAGGCTGTCACATTGTGGAAGAGGCAGGGTGTCACTGTGGGAGAGGCAGGCTGTCACACTGTGGGAGAGGCAGGCTGTCACACTGTGGGAGAGGCAGTGTGTCACTGTGGGAGAGACAGTGTGTCACTGTGGGAGAGGCAGGGTGTCACACTGTGGGAGAGGCAGGCTGTCACACTGTGGGAGAGGCAGGCTGTCACACTGTGGGAGAGGCAGGCTGTCACACTGTGGGAGAGGCCGGCTATCACACTATGGGAGAGGCAGGCTGTCACACTGTGGGAGAGGCAGGCTGTCACACTGTGGGAGAGGCAGGCTGTCACACTGTAGGAGAGGCAGTGTCACTGTGAGAGAGGCAGGCTGTCACACTGTGGGAGAGGCAGGCTGTCACACTGTGGGAGAGGCAGGCTGTCACACTGTGGGAGAGGCAGTGTCACACTGGGAGAGGCAGGCTGTCACACTGTGGGAGAGGCAGGCTGTCACACTGTAGGAGAGGCAGTGTGTCACTGTGGGAGAGGCAGACTGTCATATATGACAGCCAGGATAACTCCCCCACCCCCACAGCCTGCTGCAACCCCCCTCCCCCCACACACGCACGCAATGGTAATCCCACAATTCGTGTTGGTAGCAATTGAGAGCGGCAGGCGAAGGGCTACATTAAGGCAACACCACGACATGGTAGAGGCAGGAAGGACCAAGAGGGCGTGGTGTGGGCGTGGGTGTGGGGGGAAAGAGGAGAGGGGGGCGCCGGCCCCCGCGCCACACCCGGGGGGGGGGGGGTGCCGACCCCCCGCGCCACACCCGGGGGGGGGCGCCCGGTAAAAGCATCTTGCTATTAGCTGGACGCAGCGCCACCTGCGACACACTCCTTAGAGCCTCCAGTTGTAAACATCACTCTAGCCAGGAGGGGTAACCCACTTAATCTGCGCCGGGAAAAATATAAGTATCAAATAAATGGTTGGTGGGGGGTTAGTGGGGGTTGGGGCGGTGGCCATGTGGGGGGTGATGGCCAGGAGGGGGCCATGAAGGGGCCACAACGACCGTGGTCAACACAATACACACCTGAACGCCCTCCCTTCCACCAATTTCACTAAAACACAACATTTAAAACTTGGTCCAGATGGGGAACCTCGTCCACCTGGCCGCCCTGAGAGAGAGAGAGTTCTCGCAGGAAAATTGTAACTGAACCACCCAGGAAGACTATTAATTATTATCAAGCGTCCCGCCACACACCTGCGACACACCTACCCTCCCCTCCCTCCCTCTGCCGCTGTCACACACCTGTGGCACTACTCCCCCCACCACCACACAACCGTAACACTTGAGAGAAGAGATCGTGAGAATGACTCCAGCGGCACAGGAGGCGAGGCCAAGATGCTGTTTACTCGGCGAGACTTGTACCCCCCCCTGGCTGCTGTGGCTGTGTACTGCTGTGCAATGAGCACTGCTCATGTCTAAGGATACCTCAAGTTGGTCTACTCACACACCCTAAAGTGTGTGTAACATCCAGAACCTTTATGTGAGGTAGATTAAGGTATTATGTGTGTGTGTGTGTGTGTGTGTGTGTGTGTGTGTGTGTGTGTGTGTGTGTGTGTGTGTTTACTAGTTGTGTTTACTAGTTGTGTTTTTGCGGGGGTTGAGCTTTGCTCTTTCGGCCCGCCTCTCAACTGTCAATCAACTGTTTACTACTTTTTTTTTCCACACCACACACACACCCCAGGAAGCAGCCCGTGACAGCTGACTAACTCCCAGGTACCTATTTACTGCTAGGTAACAGGGGCACTTAGGGTGAAAGAAACTTTGCCCATTTGTTTCTGCCTCGTGCGGGAATCGAACCCGCGCCACAGAATCACGAGTCCTGCGCGCTATCCACCAGGCTACGAGGCCCCTATGTGTGTGTGTGTGTGTGTGTGTGTGTGTGTGTGTGTGTGTGTATGTGTGTGTGTGTGTATGTGTGTGTGTGTGTGTGTGTGTGTGTGTGTGTGTGTGTGTGTGTGTGTGTGTGTGTGTGTGTGTGTGTGTGTGTGTGTGTGTGTGTGTGTGTGTGTGTGTGTGTGTGTGTATGTGTGTGTGTGTGTATGTGTGTGTGTGTGTGTGTGTGTGTGTATGAAAGATTATTCTCACCCCGTTCAGTACAACGTGTTCATATATTATATAAATATACATATATATACATATTATATGTCGTACCTAGTAGCCAGAACGCACTTCTCGGCCTACTATGCAAGGCCCGATTTGCCTAATAGGCCGAATGATTTTCTTTATTTTCAACAATTTTTTTCCAAATAGTTTATTTAAATTATTATTATTTTATATTAAGACCATAATTTATTGACTTAGTTGTGTTAGTTTAGATTAGGTAGGGTTGGTTAGGTTAGGTAGGTTAGGTTAGGTAGGTTAGGTTAGGTTAGGTTAGGTAGGGTTGGTTAGGTTAGGTAGGTTAGGTAGGGTTGGTTAGGTTAGGTAGGGTTGGTTAGGTTAGGTAGGTTAGGTAGGTTAGGTTAGGTTAGGTAGGGTTGGTTAGGTTAGGTAGGGTTGGGTAGGTTAGGTTAGGTAGGGTTGGGTAGGTTAGGTAGGGTGGTTAGGTTAGGTTAGGTAGGTTGGGTAGGTTAGGTTAGGTAGGTTAGGTAGGGTGGTTAGGTTAGGTAGGTAGGGTTGGTTAGGTTAGGTTAGGTAGGTTGGTTAGGTTAGGTAGGTAGGGTGGTTAGGTTTAGGTAGGGTAGGTTAGGTTAGGTTAGGTTAGGTTAGGTAGGGTTGGTTAGGTTAGGTAGGTAGGGTTGGTTAGGTTAGGTTAGGTAGGGGTTAGGTTAGGTTAGGTAGGTAGGGTTAGGTTAGGTTAGGTAGGGTTGGTTAGGTTAGGTTAGGTAGGGTTGGTTAGGTTAGGTTAGGTAGGTTAGGTTAGGTTAGGTTAGGTTAGGTAGGGTTGGTTAGGTTAGGTAGGTTAGGTTAGGTAGGGTTAGTTAGGTTAGGTAGGTTAGGTTAGGTAGGGTTGGTTAGGTTAGGTAGGTTAGGTTAGGTAGGTTAGGTTAGGTTAGGTTAGGTAGGTTAGGTAGGGTTGGTTAGGTTAGGTAGGGTAGGTTAGGTTAGGTAGGTTAGGTAGGGTTGGTTAGGTTAGGTAGGTTAGGTAGGGTTGGTTAGGTTAGGTAGGTAGGTAGGTTGGTTAGGTTAGGTTAGGTTAGGTAGGGGTTAGGTTAGGTAGGTTAGGTAGGGTTGGTTAGGTTAGGTAGGTTAGGTAGGGTTGGTTAGGTTAGGTAGGTTAGGTTAGGTAGGTTAGGTTAGGTAGGTTAGGTAGGGTTGGTTAGGTTAGGTAGGTTAGGTAGGGTTGGTTAGGTAGGGTTGGTTAGGTTAGGTAGGTTAGGTAGGGTTGGTTAGGTAGGGTTGGTTAGGTTAGGTAGGTTAGGTTAGGTTAGGTTAGGTAGGGTTGGGTAGGGTTGGTTAGGTTAGGTAGGGTTGGTTAGGTTAGGTAGGGTTGGTTAGGTTAGGTAGGTTAGGTAGGTTAGGTAGGTTAGGTTAGGTTAGGTAGGTTAGGTTAGGTAGGTAGGTTAGGTTAGGTAGGTTAGGTAGGTTAGGTTAGGTAGGGTAGGTTAGGTAGGTTAGGTAGGTTAGGTTAGGTAGGTTAGGTAGGTTAGGTCAGGTTAGGTAGGTTAGGTTAGGTAGGTTAGGTCAGGTTAGGTCAGGTTAGGTAGGTTAGGTTAGGTTAGGTTAGGTTAGGTCAGGTTAGGTCAGGTCAGGTTAGGTTAGGTAGGTTAGGTAGGTCAGGTTAGGTCAGGTAGGTTAGGTTAGGTTAGGTTAGGTTAGGTCAGGTCAGGTTGGTTAGGTTAGGTTAGGTTAGGTTAGGTAGGTCAGGTTAGGTAGGTGAGGTTCAGGTTAGGTAGGTCAGGTCAGGTTAGGTTAGGTAGGTTAGGTTAGGTTAGGTTAGGTAGGGTTGGTTAGGTTAGGTTAGGTTGGTTAGGTTAGGTAGGTTAGGTCAGGTCAGGTTAGGTCAGGTTAGGTTAGGTTAGGTTAGGTTAGGTTAGGTTTAGGTTAGGTTAGGTCAGGTCAGGTAGGGTCAGGTTAGGTTAGGTAGGTTAGGTTAGGTAGGTTAGGTCAGGTTAGGTCAGGTCAGGTTAGGTCAGGTTAGGTTAGGTTAGGTTAGGTCAGGTCAGGTCAGGTTAGGTTAGGTCAGGTTAGGTTAGGTCAGGTTAGGTCAGGTCAGGTCAGGTCAGGTCAGGTGAGGTTAGGTCAGGTGAGGTTAGGTCAGGTCAGGTTAGGTCAGGTTAGGTCAGGTCAGGTTAGGTCAGGTTAGGTCAGGTCAGGTCAGGTCAGGTCAGGTCAGGTTAGGTCAGGTCAGGTCAGGTCAGGTTAGGTCAGGTCAGGTCAGGTCAGGTCAGGTCAGGTCAGGTCAGGTCAGGTCAGGTTAGGTCAGGTTAGGTCAGGTTAGGTCAGGTCAGGTCAGGTCAGGTTAGGTCAGGTCAGGTCAGGTTAGGTTAGGTCAGGTCAGGTCAGGTCAGGTCAGGTTAGGTCAGGTCAGGTTAGGTCAGGTCAGGTCAGGTCAGGTCAGGTCAGGTCAGGTCAGGTCAGGTTAGGTTAGGTCAGGTCAGGTTAGGTCAGGTCAGGTTAGGTTAGGTCAGGTCAGGTCAGGTCAGGTCAGGTCAGGTTAGGTCAGGTTAGGTCAGGTCAGGTCAGGTCAGGTCAGGTCAGGTTAGGTCAGGTCAGGTTAGGTCAGGTCAGGTCAGGTCAGGTCAGGTCAGGTCAGGTCAGGTCAGGTCAGGTCAGGTCAGGTCAGGTCAGGTCAGGTCAGGTCAGGTCAGGTTAGGTCAGGTCAGGTCAGGTCAGGTCAGGTCAGGTCAGGTTAGGTCAGGTCAGGTCAGGTCAGGTCAGGTCAGGTCAGGTCAGGTCAGGTCAGGTCAGGTCAGGTCAGGTCAGGTTCGGTCATATATCTACGTTAGTTTCAACTCCAATAAAAATAAATTAACTTATACATAATGAAATGAACAGATTTATCATTTCATAAGAAAAAATTTGGGAAAATATATAAATTCAGGCGAGAATGAGTACTCGCCTAATTGTGCTTGAGGGGGTTGAGCTCTAGCTCTTTGTGGCCGCCTCTATACTGTCAATCAATCAACAGATTATTATTATTATTATTATTATTATTTAATCCCCCTCCCCTCCCACACGCGCGCACATCCCCAGGAAGCAGCCCGTAGCAGCTGGCTAACTCCCAGGTACCTATTTACTGCTAGGTGAACAGTCCCACCAAGGTGAAAGAAACTTTGCACATTTGTTTCCGCCTCAGCCGGGGATCGAACCCGGAACTACAGGACTACGAATCCCGAGTGCCGCCCACTCAGCCGTCAAGCCCCCACTAGTGCCACTGGTCCAGGGCGCTTGCTTGGGAGTACCAAGTCAGCGGGTTCGAATCCCCTCTCATGGCTTCTAGTGATGTTCTTGACTGACAAGTTCAAGTATGTTTAAGCCGGTCGGCCGAGCGGACAGCACGCTGGACTTGTGATCCTGTCGTCCTGGGTTCGATCCCAGGCGCCGGCGAGAAACAATGGGCAGAGTTTCTTTCACCCTATGCCCCGGTTACCTAGCAGTAAAATAGGTACCTGGGTGTTAGTCATCTGTCACGGGCTGCTTCCTGGGGGGTGGAGGCCTGGTCGAGGACCGGGCCGCGGGGACACTAAAGCCCCGAAATCATCTCAAGATAACCTCAAGATAGCGGGAGGTCCTCGAGCAAGGGGACACAGGTGGGAACTGAGCACCCAAGTGAGCCACACATGTATCAGAAATAATTTGTACAAGTGTTAGAGTAGTTAACACATGTATTGACAAGACGAGATGTGGTGGCTATCTTGAGATGATTTCGGGGCTTAGCGTCCCCGCGGCCCGGTCCTCGACCAGGCCTCCCCCCCAGGAAGCAGCCCGTGACAGATGACTAACACCCAGGTACCTATTTTACTGCTAGGTAACAGGGGCATTGAGTGAAAGAAACTCTGCCCATTTGTCTCCGCCTCCAACTGGGATCGAACCCAGAACCTCAGGACTATGAAACCGAAACGCTGTCCACCCAGCTATCGGCAGACTCCACACACAGTTTCAAGTGTAGAGACAATACAGCCCAAAAGGCTCGGCAACCTATCAAACCGTTGAATAACGAGGCGGGGGCCAGAGCGCCGAAGCTCAACCTCCCACAGGGACAATCAGGCGCGTATAACTACCCGAGCGCGCGCGCACGCAGGCCCTGGGTTGAGAGCCAAGAGTTAAGATGCAAGACGCCACCTGTTGAGGCGACAGGCGGGTGTCACTCCCCTAGAGGGTCGAGTGACAGGTGTCCCCCCTCGCAGCATACTTGATCATCTACTCCCTCAATGGGTCGTTCCTCTTCAGTAAACAACGCAGGGAACCATTTTGGAGCCATTCCCATCCATAGCGGCCCACTTACGACGCTCTAAACCGACTAAACACATCTTCCTGCTGTGATTCCAACTTTACGAGCGGGTTTTATGCCGGGGAATAGTGTTAGGTGAGTAGCGGGCGGTCGGCGCTGGCCGCTCCCGACCGCGGCGGCCCCTCTCCATGCTCCCGGCGGCCCCTCTCCATGCTCCCGGCGGCGGCGGTGGCCCCTCTCCATGCTCCCGGCGGCGGCGGTGGCCCCTCTCCATGCTCCCGGCGGCGGCGGTGGCCCCTCTCCATGCTCCCGGCGGCGGTGGCGGCCCCTCTCCATGCTCCCGGCGGCGGCGGCCCCTCTCCATGCTCCCGGCGGCGGCGGCCCCTCTCCATGCTCCCGGCGGCGGCGGCCCCTCTCCATGCTCCCGGCGGCGGCGGCCCCTCTCCATGCTCCCGGCGGCGGCGGCCCCTCTCCATGCTCCCGGCGGCGGTGGCGGCGGCCCCTCTCCATGCTCCCGGCGGCAGCGGCCCCTCTCCATGCTCCCGGCGGCGGCGGCCCCTCTCCATGCTCCCGGTGGCGGCGGCCCCTCTCCATGCTCCCGGCGGCAGCGGCCCCTCTCCATGCTCCCGGCGGCGGCGGCCCCTCTCCATGCTCCCGGTGGCGGCGGCCCCTCTCCATGCTCCCGGCGGCGGCGGCCCCTCTCCATGCTCCCGGCGGCGGCGGCCCCTCTCCATGCTCCCGGTGGCGGCGGCCCCTCTCCATGCTCCCGGCGGCGGCGGCCCCTCTCCATGCTCCCGGCGGCGGCGGCCCCTCTCCATGCTCCCGGTGGCGGCGGCCCCTCTCCATGCTCCCGGCGGCGGCGGCCCCTCTCCATGCTCCCGGCGGTGGCGGCCCCTCTCCATGCTCCCGGTGGCGGCGGCCCCTCTCCATGCTCCCGGCGGCGGCGGCCCCTCTCCATGCTCCCGGTGGCGGCGGCCCCTCTCCATGCTCCCGGCGGCGGCGGCCCCTCTCCATGCTCCCGGCGGCGGCGGCCCCTCTCCATGCTCCCGGTGGCGGCGGCCCCTCTCCATGCTCCCGGCGGCGGCGGCCCCTCTCCATGCTCCCGGCGGCGGCGGCCCCTCTCCATGCTCCCGGTGGCGGCGGCCCCTCTCCATGCTCCCGGCGGCGGCGGCCCCTCTCCATGCTCCCGGCGGCGGCGGCCCCTCTCCATGCTCCCGGCGGCGGCGGCCCCTCTCCATGCTCCCGGCGGCGGCGGCCCCTCTCCATGCTCCCGGCGGCGGCGGCCCCTCTCCATGCTCCCGGCGGCGGCGGCCCCTCTCCATGCTCCCGGCGGCGGCGGCCCCTCTCCATGCTCCCGGCGGCGGCGGGCGGTCGGTGCTGCCCGCTCCGGACCGCGGCGGTGGCGGCACCTCTCCATGCTCCAGCTGCTGACGGCGGCGGCCCCTCTCCATGCTCCCGCTGCTGACGGTGGTGGCCCCTCTCCATGCTCCCGGTGGCGGCGGCCCCTCTCCATGCTCCCGGCGGCGGCGGCCCCTCTCCATGCTCCCGGCGGCGGCGGCCCCTCTCCATGCTCCCGGCGGCGGCGGCCCCTCTCCATGCTCCCGGCGGCGGCGGCCCCTCTCCATGCTCCCGGCGGCGGCGGCCCCTCTCCATGCTCCCGGCGGCGGCGGGCGGTCGGCGCTGCCCGCTCCGGACCGCGGCGGTGGCGGCACCTCTCCATGCTCCAGCTGCTGACGGCGGCCCCTCTCCATGCTCCCGCTGCTGACGGTGGCGGCACCTCTCCATGCTCCCGGCGGTGGCGGCACCTCTCCATGCTCCAGATGCTGACGCCGTTTCGGCCCCTCTCCATGCTCCAGCTACCGACGGTGGCGGCCCCTCTCCATGCTCCCGACCGCGGCGGTGGCGGCCCCTCTCCATGCTCCAGCTACCGACGGTGGCAGCCCCTCTCCATGCTCCAGCTACCGACGGCGGCGGCCCCTCTCCATGCTCCAGCTGCTGACGGTGGTGGCACCTCTCCATGCTCCAGCTGCTGACAGTGGCGGCCCCTCTCCATGCTCCAGCTGCTGACAGTGGCGGCCCCTCTCCATGCTCCCGGCGGTGGCGGCACCTCTCCATGCTCCCGGCGGTGGCGGCACCTCTCCATGCTCCAGCTGCTGGCGGTGGCGGCCCCTCTCCATGCTCCAGCTGCTGGCGGTGGCGGCCCCTCTCCATGCTCCAGCTGCTGGCGGTGGCGGCCCCTCTCCATGCTCCTGACCGCGGCGGTGGCGGCCCCTCTCCATGCTCCAGCTGCTGACGGCGGCGGCCCCTCTCCATGCTCCAGCTGCTGACAGTGGCGGCCCCTCTCCATGCTCCAGCTGCTGACGGCGGCGGCCCCTCTCCATGCTCCAGCTGCTGACAGTGGCGGCCCCTCTCCATGCTCCAGCTGCTGACGGTGGCGGCCCCTCTCCATGCTCCAGCTGCTGACAGTGGCGGCCCCTCTCCATGCTCCAGCTGCTGACGGCGGCGGCCCCTCTCCATGCTCCAGCTGCTGACGGCGGCGGCCCCTCTCCATGCTCCAGCTGCTGACGGCGGCGGCCCCTCTCCATGCTCCAGCTGCTGACAGTGGCGGCCCCTCTCCATGCTCCAGCTGCTGACAATGGCGGCCCCTCTCCATGCTCCCGGCGGTGGCGGCACCTCTCCATGCTCCCGGTGGTGGCGGCACCTCTCCATGCTCCCGGCGGTGGCGGCACTTCTCCATGCTCCAGCTGCTGGCGGTGGCGGCCCCTCTCCATGCTCCAGCTGCTGGCGGTGGCGGCCCCTCTCCATGCTCCAGCTACCGACGGTGGCAGCCCCTCTCCATGCTCCAGCTACCGACGGCGGCGGCCCCTCTCCATGCTCCAGCTGCTGACGGCGGCGGCCCCTCTCCATGCTCCAGCTGCTGACAGTGGCGGCCCCTCTCCATGCTCCTGACCGCGGCGGTGGCGGCCCTTCTCCATGCTCCTGACCGCGGCGGTGGCGGCCCCTCTCCATGCTCCTGACCGCGGCGGTGGCGGCCCCTCTCCATGCTCCTGACCGCGGCGGTGGCAGCCCCTCTCCATGCTCCTGACCGCGGCGGTGGCGGCCCCTCTCCATGCTCCTGACCGCGGCGGTGGCGGCCCCTCTCCATGCTCCTGACCGCGGCGGTGGCAGCCCCTCTCCATGCTCCTGACCGCGGCGGTGGCGGCCCCTCTCCATGCTCCTGACCGCGGCGGTGGCAGCCCCTCTCCATGCTCCTGACCGCGGCGGTGGCAGCCCCTCTCCACCCCTGGGGGAGGGGGGGGGTGGCCAATGGTGTGGTAATGGCCCTACTAAATACCCTGGGATTCCGGCCAACCATCCATGCAGTCTGCCCTGTAACTTGTGTCTGGGGCGGGCCACTCTACCCCCCCCCCTGTGTGGCCCGGGCCGGCCTACACACACCCCGGGGGGGTCCTAGTGACCTCAGTGTGGCCCGGGCCGACCTCCACACACCCCGGTTGGCCCTAGTGACCTCAGTGTGGCCCGGGACGACCTCCATACCCCCCAGGGGGCCCTAGTGACCTCAGTGTGGCCCGGGCCGACCTCCACACACCCCGGGGGGGTCCTAGTGACCTCAGTGTGGCCCGGGCCGACCTCCACACACCCCGGGGGGCCCTAGTGACCTCAGTGTGGCCCGGGCCGACCTCCATACCCCCCAGGGGGCCCTAGTGACCTCAGTGTGGCCCGGGCCGCCCTCCACACCCCAGGGGGGCCCTAGTGACCTCAGTGTGGCCCGGGCCGACCTCCACACCCCCCGGGGGGCCCTAGTGACCTCAGTGTAGCCCGGGCCGCCCTCCACACACCCCGGGGGGCCCTAGTGACCTCAGTGTGGCCCGGGCCGACCTCCACACACCCCGGGGGGCCCTAGTGACCTCAGTGTGGCCCGGGCCGACCTCCACACCCCCCGGGGGGGCCCTAGTGACCTCAGTGTGGCCCGGGCCGACCTCCACACACCCGGGGAGGCCCTAGTGACCTCATTGTGGCCCGGGCCGACCTCCACACCTCCTCACAGACCCCTTTGCCAGGGGCACCACAGCCAGGGGAACACACAGGGGAACCCCTGACAGACTGCAGCCCCTTGTCCCCTAGTCGTCCTCTCTACCCAAGATCTAAATTCTGAATTCCTTGTAAGATGAAATGGCAATTGAATACAGAGTTGTTGTTGCTGCGGGGACAGGTGTCAGGACCTCTGATACGGGGTCTTCGCCCCCCTATGCCCCCCCTGGGGGAGGCAGAGTGGCAGGGGGTGGGAGCGCCCCCTGATGGATTACCACACTACTGCATTGTAAGTTAACACGTCCGCCCCCCCTGTGAGACTGATTTGGGGTTGGTGGTGGTGATTGGTGGTAGTTGGTGGTGGTTGATGGTGGTGGTAATGGTGTTGGTGGTGAAAAGTTCTTGTTATCCAACCTGTCATTTTTCTTGCAGTTGTGACGGCTACTTTATTGTGTTCTTTAAAGGTAAGGTCTTCCGACATGAGTACGCCCAGGTCCTTTACATTGCCTTTTCGTTCTATGTTATGATTTGCCTGAGTTTTGTACGTGGTTTCCGTTTTTATATTTTCAATTTTTCCGTAGCGCATGAGCTGGAACATATCTTCGTTAAACACCATATTATTTTCTGTAGCCCATAGACCTGATCTACATCTGACTGGAGGTTTGCCGTGTCCTCTATGTTGCCTACTCTCATGAAGATCCTAGTGTCATCTGCAAAGGATGATACAGTGCTATAGGTTGTGTTCTGGTCTATGTCCGATATGAGGATGAGAAAAAGTACTGGAGCAAACACAGTACCCTGGGGGACTGTACTGGAGCAAGCACAGTACCCTGGGTGGACTGTACTGGAGCAAGCACAGTACCCTGGGGGACTGTACTGGAGCAAGCACAGTACCCTGGGGAACTGTACTGGAGCAAGCACAGTACCCTGGGGGACTGTACCGGAGCAAGCACAGTACCCTGGGGGACTGTACTGGAGCAAGCACAGTACCCTGGGGGACTGTACTGGAGCAAGCACAGTACCCTGGGGGACTGTACTGGAGCAAGCACAGTACCCTGGGGGACTGTACTGGAGCAAGCACAGTACCCTGGGGGACTGAGCTCTTCACGGTTGATGGGCTGGATTTTATTTTGTTGACTATTACACATTGGGTTCTGTTAGTCAGGAAATTGTAGATCCATCTGCCTATTGCGTTAAGTGCCTGGGCGCTATACCAGGGGCCAGATTCACGAAAGAACTTACGCAAACACTTACGACCGTGTCCATCTTTCCTCAATCTTTGACGGTTTTGGTTACATTTATTAAACAGTTTACAAGCATGAAAACTTTCCATTCAACTGTTGTTATTGTTATAAACAGCCTCCTGGTGCATCGGAGCTCATTAACTGTTTAATAATTGTAAACAAAGCCGCCAAAGATTGAGAAAAGATGTACAGGTTCGTAGGTGTTTGCGTAAGTGCTTTCGTGAATCTGGCCCCTGGCTACCAAGGTATACTCCAAGGCCAGCTTGTGACGGCAACTAGAGCATGCAGGATACCACCACTAACAGCCTCAGCGATCACCAAATAAGCCAAGACTGTCCAGACCAGAGACCGGGTCAGGGGTCGAGGCCGGCCTTAGGCTTACCTTAAACACACACTCACAGAAGTACATCAGTTGATTGACAGTTGAGAGGCGGGACCAAAGAGCCACAGCTCAACCCTCGCAAGCACAAATAGGTGATTAAGGTCACTTAACGCCCGCAATCACACGTGCAGATCCTCGAACCCCTCTTTAAGGAGTAGTGAATGTGTGAACCAGTGAGCCATCTGAACTCTAAGTGTACACACACTTAGAGCCGGTCGGCCGAGCGGACAGCACGCTGGACAAGTGATCCTGTGGTCCTGGGTTCGATCCCAGGCGCCGGCGAGAAACAATGGGCAGAGTTTCTTTCACCCTATGTCCCTGTTACCTAGCAGTAAAATAGGTACCTGGGTGTTAGTCATCTGTCACGGGCTGCTTCCTGGGGGTGGAGGCCTGGTCGAGGACCGGGCCGCGGGGACACTAAAGCCCCGAAATCATCTCAAGATAACACACACTACAGTATGTCGTACAGGCACTCACCCTCCCTGTAGGCACTCAGTGCACGGTGTGAGGGGGGGGGGAGGGGAGGCACTCTGGGAGTGACAGGAGAGGACAGAAGCGCCTCACTCCACCTGTCCACATAATTGTACGAAAGGTCGACTACCGTCTGGGGCTCCTCCATCCCATTTTACTACAAGAGCAGCGTGGCGGGATGGTAATCCTTCACAATTACCGCCTGCCTGGCACCCGCCACACTAGGGGGGGGGGGAGGGGCGGCTCCCTGCCATGGTTGGCACCCCAACCCGCCGCCCCCAAGGCCTGAACACCGTGGTGGTGGCGGCGTGAACAGCAAGGCAGAACATTGCCAGGGATAAAAGCAAGACACCCTCGGCATGCTAAGTTTCGACCTAGAAGGTTAGGTTAGGTCGTGAATTCCTAGACCTTCCTTAGTGTGTTGGTGGGCCTTGCCTCACTCCCTCACTCTCTCCCTCACTCTACACACCTCCCTCACACTGGTCACACACACTTCAACCCGTTCTCGCAAATTTAATAAGTCAATATTGACTTATTAAATATGTGCATAGGTGACATACTTAACATAATAGATACCCTTAAAAAGATTCATAGAAAACACCGACCTTACCTAACCTACTTAGTATGTTAAGATAAGCATCTTATTGCTTCGTAATTACAATTATTACCTAACCTATAATAGGTATAGGTAACGGGTCACGAACCCGTTACAAAGAGCGGTCAAGTCGTCCCGTGAAGACGGTCCACAAGGAGACATGTACACTTTTCTTATCTGGAATTGGAAGCCATTGAGAAAGTTGAGAGGTCTCGACGCCTCCTCATTTCTCCTCCCAACTATCCCTCACTGTCTTGAAGGGAATATTTTGTAACATTAGAGAGTGAGGAGGTCTTGACACCTTTGGTACACAGGTTACGGCGCAGGGAGCACGCGCTAGGGGCCTAGGGCCAGATTCACGAAGCGGTTACGCAAGCACTTACGAACCTGGGGCCAGATTCACGAAGCAGTTACGCAAGCACTTACGAACGTGTACATCTTTCCTCAATCTTTGACGGCTTTGGTTACATTTATTAAACAGTTTACAAGCATGAAAACTTGCCAATCAACTGTTGTTATTGTTATAAACAGCCTCCTGGTGCTTCGGAGCTCATTAACTGTTTAATAATTGTAAACAAAGCCGCCAAAGATGAGAAAAGATGGACAGGTTCGTAAGTGTTTGCGTAACTGCTTCGTGAATCTGGCCCCAGGTTCGTAAGTGCTTGCGTAACTGCTTCGTGATTCTAGCCCCAGGTTCGTAAGTGCTTGCGTAACTGCTTCGTGAATCTGGCCCCAGGTTCGTAAGTGCTTGCGTAACTGCTTTCGTGAATCTGGCCCCAGGTTCGTAAGTGCTTGCGTAACCGCTTCGTGAATCTGGCCCCAGGTTCGTAAGTGCTTGCGTAACCGCTTCGTGAATCTGGCCCCAGGTTCGTAAGTGCTTGCGTAACCGCTTCGTGAATCTGGCCCCTGACATTTCATAGCTTTTAGCTCCGCGCAGTATCTTAAAAGTTTCAATAATAACTGTATTGAACGCTCTCAGTACAGCGGTTCCCTCACCAGTTGTAGTGTGGTACCGTTGTGGTACCTTTGTGGTACCTTTGTGGTACCGTTGTGGTACCGTTGTGGTACCTTTGTGGTACCGTTGTGGTACCGTTGTGGTACTGTTGTGCTAGTGTAATGATTGTAGTATACATTCTCTAAAATGATGAGGAGGGGTGTTTATATCATGCCAGGAAGGGCGTGATGGGGCACCCTTGTTGAGGAGGGGTGTTTATATCATGCCAGGAAGGGCGTGATGGGGCACCCTTGTTGAGGAGGGGTGTTTATATCATGCCAGGAAGGGCGTGATGGGGCACCCTTGTCAGGCTACAACTCTACGGACAATGCTATTCAGGTTTCGTTATCATTTTCAGTCAGTCCGGGAAGCGCCACCGGGAAAATGTCAGACAGTTGATATAATTTGATGTTTGTTTGAGTGACAGGCTTTGAGACTGTTGATGTGTATGACTGGAGGAGCCGCGTGACGGGACAGCTAGCCTGCGGCTGTCAG